TTGAAAAGATACATATTTTAAAATAAACACATTAAATATGTTAATAATTTTTAAATTATTTCAAAAATCAAAAACATAAATCATGAGAGATGTGGTATTCACTAAGACACATACTCATAAAAATCATTTTAAATGCAACGTTGGCTATGAATGTCAGGTTAGCAGATTGTTAAAACCTAGTACTTTACTTAAATAAATGTTCTTTGGATTTAGTCTATTGTTTACAAGAAGGTAAATATGTGCTAATGCATATAATTTTTTAATTAAAAATATCCATTAAACTTATTCAGTCTACAGTGCATTATACAAAATTAATGTAAAATGAATTAAACTTTAATCCTCATTATTTTCTCTAACTTAAAAATACTTAGAGTTTGAAGGTTTATATAAATAGTTTATTTCAGATATGAATTTGAATTTATATTTTACTTCATAATGGAAAACACATAGGAAAAGTATCTCAAGGATATGGAAGTATATGTCTACAGTATTTTTGTGGGTATAAGGGCTCCCAGATTTTCCATTGTCACATTTTTAAAGTTGCCTCAAGAAAACTACTTTTAAATTGAAGAATTCTTAATATCTTTAATGAAGCTTTATCTACAACCTTGCAATAAGTGAATCCAGTCAGTAATTTAGACAATATTTTGTGACTCTTTATAGATAATTTTATTATTCTCCTTTAGCAATAGGTCACATTGGCTTGCTATCGCTTGCATGTATTCAGAGGATAAGTACCATTTCTTGTTTCTAAGATGGCTTTGTCTGTGCCTGGATGACTTCTCCATGACTACTCATTTGATATGCTGCAAATGATGCGAAACACATTCTAACCTTGTTTGTCATAAAACTCTTTCAAACACTTGCTTTTATTTCTCTGTTCACCATCACAGAAAATCTGAAAACACCAAATAAACAAGGAATCTAAACCTTCTAATCTCTAATAAATTTTTTCTAATTAATTTTTCATCTCAACTCTCTCTAACTTCACCCTAAACTATTACAGCAAAGTTGAATGTAATATTCAATATGGACACACCACATTTTCTTAGTTTCAGTTCCTCTCAGAAGCAACTGACAATTGATACCTTTTTTCTTGAAATCTGACCCTCTCTTAATTTCCAAGATATTATACTCTTGTGTTTTCCCAATAACTGTAATACCTCAGTTTCTTCTGGGAGCCAGTGTGTTTTCTTCTTCCTATAATATTTCCTTGGGACTCACTTGATCTCCCATTAGTAACTCAAGAAGTACTCTGTGAATTTTTATGCTGTGCTGCTCACCCCTATAGTGTTGTGGAACACCAGTCTCACAGACAGCAATTTCATAGAGTTTAGGCCTTATTTGTCTGGTAGGTTTATCCTCACCAGACTGCAAATATCATTTGCCTGCTAAGATCCACAGTCTCACAGTGTATGTTGTCAAGCCATGACCATTTTCTCACCTTTATAATCATATATCAAACCAACAATTGACATTTCAAATTTAACGCATTCCAAATTGCTATTCTGTTTGTTCCCCATTCTCCAAACCCCACTCTTCCTACAGAATTTTTCACTTTGAGAAATGACATCAGTAATGCCCAGTTTGCTCAAAAAAGGTAACCTACAAGTCATCATTACCTACCATGTCCAATTTATTACAGAGGCAGTGTCGGTCTACATTAGTATGTATCTACAATAGTAATTCTCTTCATTTTCTACTCTTACCACCTCTCTTACAGTATTGATCTCCACCCACCACTTACACCAGTCATATGGACAGATTTATAATGCCTATATATTCATTCAACTTACAATATTTCTCCCTTTCTGTGGGATCAGCATTAAACTTATTTGCATAGTTTTAAGAAGCCACTGGCAGGTCTGAGTTGCAGCCCCCTCTCTTGTCTAATCCTCAGACACACATCCCCAGATTCTGCTCCAGATATTCTTTTTCCACTTATTAAAGGAGATCAGCATTTTCTACTGTCAGACACTTCTTCCATGTAACACTCCCTGGAAGCTTAATGCCTGAAAGTTTCCTTTATAGAGCTACTTTTGAAAGGAAACCATTCCGAATCCTAACTGTACCCCACAGATTAGGTATTTTTGCCAACTGCTCCCATGGGAGCAGAATGCATGAACACATCCTGTAGTTGTAATAATTCATGGGTTATTATAACTCATGTTTAGTGTCAGGCTTCTTTGTCAGATTGTGAAATTGTTTATGTCTGGGACTCTCTCTGTTCTTTTTATGATGAATCTTTTGCCCTCATCTCAGTTCTTTCACAAAGCAAGATTTCAGAAAATATTCCCTAATGAATGAATGAATGAATGAATTTTAAGTTGGCAGAGCCAGAAGAAACTAAACCAGAATTCTCTACATTTTCATTCTAGGTCTTGCATATAACTCAATAAGTTAATCAAATTGAAGGTAAATGTAATATCTTAGAGTACATGCATCACAGCATGTATTGCTATGCCTTTATGTATATGTATAACATAATAACATAGCACTTTATAAATATAGGTAAAATATTGATATTTCAAATTTATGGGGCATATAAAATGATAAACGATGGAACATTTAATCACTCTTATTTAGGTGTGTCATTTCGTAAGGCATCAAAGTTTTCATATGACTTAAAGCAGCACAAAACTTGAATAAATCATTTAACCTTCTGAAATAATTTTTTAAAATGAGCTTCACTTCATTAAGTGTGTACCTACATATACAGATATGGATATATACCATTATACCTTTTATTGGCTTTTGTTTCCCTTTCCTTTTCCTTTTTCCTTTTTAGTACTGGTACTTGAACTCAGGATCTTCATGTTTAGCTACATTCCCACCTGTTTTTATTTTATTTTGACACAGGGTCTTCCTAAGTCACGAAGTTATTCAGGTTAGGCTCAAATTTGCAGTCTTCCTGCCTCAGCTCTCTCTCCCAAATGTTGGAGTTACAGGCATACACTGCCATGCATAGCGTAGTTTTTGTTTTCAATAATTTCTTAGAAAAATTCCAGGGAATCTAGGTGCATAACATGAAATAACATGTCTAACATCTAATTTGTGACATCTTATGCTTTATATAAAATTGTAATTAAAATGTTATATTTTACTACATTAATACTGATTTTATGTTTCACTGACATATAATATTTGTACACATTAATGGGACATGGAGTGATGATCATCAGATCAAGGGAATTAGTATTTCCATCTTGGAAACATCATTTCTTTGTTGTGGAAACATTCAAATGCTGTTAATCTAGATCTTTATGAAACATAATGAAAAATGTTGGGAATTATAGTCATTCTTCTGTGCTGTAGAATATTAGGATTTATCCTTTCTATGTAACTGCATTTTAATATCTCAATACAAATTCATGATTTCCTTCAAATGTATGAACTGCATTAAAGTTTTAGAAGAATGGAATACACTTTTCAATTCTGTTTTAGATACTCTGACTAGGTTTGCTAATCATTTTTACATTATGTTCTTAATTCCCTTCATAGAATAAAATTACTACAATCATAATATAGTTATGAATACAATTATTGATTTTTCAAATTCACAAGCAAATAGTAAAAATAAAGCATAGTACATTCAGCTTGTCTTACTCGGGTGCATCACCTCCTATGAGATTTTCATAGGACTTGAAGTAGCACTGAATTTGAGTGGATAAAATCTTTTTAAAAAATCTTTCTTGTAAAATCTTTCTTGTAAAATGAATATCTCTTCTTCATCTAACTTATAATCAAGAATAAAATGAGATAATAAATGCACAAGGACTTGATAAATTAAAAAGAAAATGCCATCATAATCAAAGATATCCATAATATTTCTAGAGGCTCCTAACTGCCCAATTTGAAATTATAATCAAAATTATAATTCATATCATTAACTAATTAATGTTAACAAGACAAAGTCACAAAGTTAATTAGTTTTAAATCTCATAATCAATAATTATTTTAATAAAAATTAAGTGTATAAAACTGATTTCAATTTTTAAATATTGACATGATATTAGAAATTCATAGTAAATGAGATCAGAATCAATTTGAAATTACAAGAAGGTTAAGTAAAATGACCAAAATGACAAATTTTAGTTCTTTTCTAGTTTCACAAGCATTATGTACCAATAGTGATATTCTATGATAAACTCTGGCTTTATGAATTAATTTGGTGTTCTCATTTTTCTTTACATGTTTATGTAATGAACGCATGTCTATAAAAGTTAAATACTAAAGGTAATACATAAAGGGCAGATTTAGTATAAGGCAATGCTAATATATGACTAATATGGAATTAATATTAAATTTTACTTTGTATCAGTAGACATATGCTCTTGCTTCTCTACCTCTGTATCTATACTATGCGGTATCCAAAAATAATTTAAGAGAGATCTTGTGCCTTTTGATAATATCCCTAACATATCAATGGATATAAGTACTATTACCTACCAAAAGAACAGCACACTGTTTGTTGTAAAAACAGATTTAGAGTTTCCTGCTATAGCATATAATCTCCTTGAAACTGCACCTATACGTCTTTACGAAGTTGCATTTGTGAATGTCCTTGATTCACTGAGTGATTTCATATTTCTAAAATTGATCTCATTGTTCAGTCGCCATTATCTTTGGCAATATCTAACCAGAATCACAAATCAGGTTGTCCATGTTCCAAGAGAAGTTGTCTTATTGGCAAAGGTTCCCTCTGGTCTCAGCAGGTTTTCATACTGCTTTTTATCGTTCATTCTCACCTGCCATTCTTTCCCTCTGCCTATTTCTTCTCATCACTTCTATGGCTAAAGCTATTAAAGCATTTTTACAAAATACCTCACGGCAAGAGTAACTGGGAACACTTTAAGGCGACATGCCACACTAATCATGATGGAATCTAGAGTTTACATTTAGTTTATAAACTTACATTTTCATTTTTAATAAAAAGAGCCATAGCCGTTGTAAACAGATAACATAATACTTATGTTAGGAAAGCTTGTAGTTTTGCTTACCTTTAATAATGTTGGGCTTTGGTGGCATGCTGAACTCGTAAACTGTTGGTTCAGAATATCCTAGTCTATTGGCAGCTGTGATTTGAACTTCATAGCCCATTGTCCACTGTAGATGCTCCAAAATAATGTGGTCTTTATTTCCCTGCACTTTTTTCTCTAGCCACTGATCTTCTTTATCTTTCTGTAAAGAGGACACACATATATTTTATAAATATAGCTTTTTAAATGTAATTTATTTGGGAGTGGAACAAATAGCTTCATTATTATTGATTTTTACATTCACATGGATATATGAACTTGCAATATCAATGAAGTCAATATTATTTCCAACATTTACTATATAAGATAAAATGTCTCTACACATTAACCAGAGTAATAATTCTGCACACTTTTATCTTTTAGTAATTTATCATTCACCTCCATTAATTGTATTATTTGTTTGATATACAACAGTTTGGAATTTGGTCACACTTAATTATTGTTAAGCATGTGATAGAAAACTAAAATACAATATATTAAATAAGTCTAATATGTCCATTAAAATAATTTCCAGAGACATATTAAAGTTTGGTGAAGGAGAAAAACTGTATGGGAATTAAAGTATGAATATTATTTTACACTTTTGTTAGCACTTGCACTATTTTACTACTATATTTTATGATTCATAATGAAATAGCATATAAGGAAAATAATCATGTGGAAATTATAAAAAGTAATCCTACTGCAAAACATTTTAAATTTAAAGACTATTTTATTATTTTGGACTACATGATATTAGAATTGCTCTCTATTTGAAAAGATAGCATTATTACCACAATAGCACTGAAAAATAAATTGGCATAATTTTGTGAAATACATTATCAAAAAACATGGGAACATTAAGCTATTCCATGTTAACAGTTTAAAAATGGGTAAGTTTCTTAACCCTTTGGTTCTTTCCCTGTCTAAAACAGAAATAATAGCAACAGCTTCTCTATGACACTTTTTGATGGAACTACAAGGAAAACAGTAAATGGTGTTTTCCAGGGCCTGAGGAATTGTAATCAAAACAGTCTCCATTACTAAGAAATAACTATTTCCATAATAACCATATGGAAATGAAGTATTTTTTCCCAGAATCATGTATCTAATAATCTATAACTGCAATTTCAAATCTTATTTCCCAGGAACTAGATATAAATAAATTGAATTCTGGCTATAGCAATAGATAGAAAGATTTGTTTAACCTTATAGTTTATCCCAATATTACCTTACATTCAGCCAAAATTTTTACAATGTTTCTTCAAATATAAAGAATAAAACATTTGCTGAACTAATGGTAAATAATTAAGGATTTATTCTCTAAAGGCAAATAGGCACTTAACTGGGGTGCTCCAAACATACACTTCAGAAAGGAAACAAAAAGATATGGTTTTGATTCAATAGTATTATTCTCTTTATCTTTTGAATTATTTCTGATGGTATAGATTTTTATGAATAACATAGTTTTTTATTTCTTCAAAACTTAAAGTATAAAACCTTTAATGAGATCAGGGTTCTAAATGGACATTTAATTTGCAGATAAACATGTATATTTTTAATAATTTTATATTTTTTTCAATTTTTACATTTTACTACTTTACATTGAAATTTTTAAAAATTAATTTTATTGGTATATTTTAGGTATACAATATAATGACATTCATCATGGGAAATTTGTACCTTTGCATAATATATCTTAGTTCTTATTTTTTCCCCATTCCCATGCCCTCCCTTCGACCCCTCCACCCCTCCCTATTTACAAAGACTTTGTTTCCAGTTTTTCATTTTCTCATATTAATTCCATTCCCTTCTTTCCTTTCTCCAATTCCTGCTACTTCCCCTTCCCCTTTGAACCTTTTCTTCCTATTTCACAATATCTATTATGCCTTTCGATCCTTATTTACACTTTCAGTTTCTCACAGCAGAGAAACTAGTTGGTATTTACACACGTGTGTCCTATTTATTTCACTTAAGAGTATTGCCTCAATGTACATCCATTTAGCTATGTCTCTAGTTTCTCATTCTTTGTGGCTGACTAGTACTCCATTTTATTAATTAAAAAACCTCACATCTTCTTTATCCAGTCTCCAGTAAATGGGAAATTGGGCTGCTTGCAAGTTTTAGCTATTACAAACTGTGCTCCTATGAGTAATTTTCAAAATGGCCTATTTCCCACTTGGATTTAAGATCTTAAATGATATAATGGAATGGCAATGAGTAAACTGCAAAGAAAAGCTATAACTAGTCTAAGAATCTAAGTGAATAATAAAGTTAAGAATCAAACCAAGGCGTGCTTTGGGAATGTTTAAGATGGGTGTACTAGAGTCAATGTTTCCCAATATTCTCTTTCTTCATCCATTCATTTTTTCCATCCTTATTGGGTGGTTAGGCTGTTCTAAAAACTATGAAGACAATAGTACACAAGACATACACAAAACCTTCATCTTGTTTTTGTTAAGCCAACACAGAAGAAAGAGATGAGTTCTTTGAATAACAAAGGAATTCAATTAGGGCTTGTAGAGAGAGAGATTTAATAGAGCTCTAGGGCCAGGACCATCTCCCATGGAAATAATATTGTCCTTTTTGGAAGTAACAAACTCTGGTGCCATTCATTTTACCCAACATAGTTGTTAGCAAATATATAAAGGTGTGAGTCCTTGACAGAACATTATATCCAAAAGTAAACACAATAATTTAAAAACCCATGAAATTGCATAACCATTCAAGAATATAAGAACATATGCTATATGATAATGATTTCAAACAAATTTAAAAATTTCTCGAGTTACATAAAAGCAAGTGCCTTTCAAGTTGGTAGAAACATGTGTGATTCTGTGGCTCCAGCATTACACCAATAATTCACACATCCTATGTAACTACGAAGTGTTTGCTATGAGTAATCTGTGGAAATTCAAGTGCTTGGATTTTGCTTTGGATCTGAGTGGAGATACTGATTTCAAGACAAATATAAGCCACTAATTGAGATGTGAAATACCTCGGAATTCTTTAGAGGATGAATAGACTTTCTGTCCTTCAAGTAATCCTCCAAAACATATCATATCTAGGAACTGAGCATTTTAGGTGAAACTTGTAATGTTCCAAAATACCAATTCCAAGAATAGAGCATTTGAAGAGAAACTTCTAGACAAGCAACAGACATACAGGCATTCTTTTCTGAATTAAGAGTCATTTAACTCTTAACTGCTGAAGCTGTTAGCACCGGTAAATTAAAAATGTTTCCTTCCTTTTAGACTAACGGTGCAAGAAACCAAGGGGAGTTCTAATATTTTCCCAATATAAATCAATTTCATTTTCCATTCAACATTAGATAAGGAGATATTTCAATCCCTTAATTGCTATATCTGGGGAACAGAAAAAAAATAAAGTGGGTGTTACCAAAAACTCCCCTAAGCATGGAAATCTCAATTATGCATCTGCGCAGTGCCTAATTTACAGAATTTAAATGCCCAGGGACCGATTTAAGATAACTGGTTGCAAAATGTTCCCCTAGGTAACTTAATGAGATGATTTGTTGAATAGGGCTATTATTAATAAGCCAATTAAATGCTGAAGGGCAGTTATGGAAAAAGTCATTTTTCTGTGCTGTAACGACTATTCTATTGAGCACTACTTTTTGTCAGAAAATATCAGGGCTACACAATAATTAAGGATATTTCTTCTTCTTTCTTTCTTTTTTTTTTTTTTTGGTACTGGGGCTCAGACTCAGGTCCTTGTGCTTGCAAGGGAGGCAGAGGAACAACTGAGCAAAATCCCCAGCCCAAGGATACTTCTTAATAGTGATACTAAAGTCATGATATCAGCACATTAGCAAATATTTCCTATCTTCTGTACAAGAGTACACCAGAGAAAAGGAGGAATGATTCACATATTTTATTATCAGAGGGCTATTTGGTGTTTTATTCATAACAAGTAATAGTCTGTTAACTTTCTTTTCAAAGTTACCTGGAAACAAAGTCTTAAATACAACTCGAATAATTACAAATTTAAATGACAATACAGCTGGTGAGCTCATATTCACTAGAGAAATTTAGGTTCTTCTGACTTTTGTGTCATCTGATTTAATATTTTGTATGAATATGCAGCAGCTTTGGATGAGATCAGGTGTGTTCAGGGTGCTATGGCCGTAGACACTGCAGCAGTTTTGGGCTTTCTTGATTTCATGATTTTGAGGGTGAAATATTTATTATTTGTATGACCTCACAGAAGGATTCAGAAATATCTTAAAGTCTGTTTGCTACTGAGTACGAGAAAGGAAAGTTACCAATATGGATAATTCACATATATATGTATATGCATTTGCTTGTGCATGTGTGTGTAAAATAAAAGCTATTTCTCTGAGATTTGGGAACATGTAAGGTATAGTAGGTTTTAACAGAAAACTTCTAAATTGTAATCTTTTCTTTCATTATCATAACTGCCTCAAATTACCTTTGTTCCATGTTCTGATGCCGGGTAAAATTTCTAAGATGAGCCCTAAGTAATATTTTTGTAGAGTGTTCCTCACCCACATAATACTCAAGAGAAAATAAATTAATTTTTCTTTGTTATTACTCCTGGCACATTCACAAATATTTGCAGAGTGCAAGCCATAATCTTTACACTTAATTTTAATGTACTGATTTTTCTTGTGTTCATTATTTCTCCAATGTATGAATCTATTATAGGCCAGTTTATAATTGAATAAAATGGATTAACTGATTCCTTGGTGATTTTGTTCTTTTAAACAACAAACAGCCTATTTTATACTGCCAATATAAAGATTAATAAACCTTTTTTACAGCAAAAAAATAAAAATCACTAAATTGTTTCATACTCTTTAATTCCTAAAGCTGTTCATTGTCCACAATTATTTCAATATTAAAATCTATTTCTTAAATATATTTCAGTACACACACTAAAATGCTATAACTTTAAAATAAATTCTCTCATCAATCAAATTTCAATTTTATTAACTTTTACTTAGTGCTGTTTTCAATACTACATTTTGTTTTGTTGTTTTCATTTACATACAGTATTATGCAAATTTCCGGACTTCAAATGGCTTAAGAAGTTCAATTAACTTTTTAAAATGTATGCTATAATTACTCTTATTAATTCCTAATGTTCCTTTTTCACAACCAATTTTAAGTTATCAATTCGTTTTAGCCCTTCTTAGCTCAGAAAACTCAAAATTATGCCATAAGTGATAGTTATGATCCTATAGCTATCATCAAATTAGAGTGAAAATTGTGAAAAAGTCATGGAAACTTGGAAAAAACTATTTATTAAATTATATGGAGTTATATTGACACTACATTACTAAGTAGATGTAAAATATTTGGTACTTGAAATAAATTTTTGTGTTTCTTCAGACACTCTATTAGATTAATATGTTCATCATTAATCTCCAGATACATGATTTAATCTTATTCTCTTATTGTTGGAAATGTTAATTTTCATGAAGGGCCCATAGAGACAGCTAAATTGGTTTTTATTACTCTGGTTATCTTCTAATAAATTGTCTTCTTAATGAGTGAATGATCAAAGCCTTGTGCTCTATTACAGGATAACATAGGATAATGTACTTCCTGGTTTCTAATCTTCAGGAAGTTATACACTATCTTGGTTAGTACACTAGTACTTTTGTTTTTGTTAGTGAAATTCAAATGAAATGCCTTGATTCACAATATGTTAGAAATCAGAAGTTATAAACAGAATATAGTGACTCAGTTAATTTTGTTCTCAATATAAAATACATACTCCTTTGTACAGCAGAGTTGAAAAATTGGCTAACAGAAGAAATCTAGTGAAAAAATTAGGATTAGAGTTGTTACTTATTTCCCAGATTTTTATCCCTTTTTTTCCATAGAGGTTATATGTTTTAAAATGCACTGTATATTTCAAAGTAATTTTTCAAATTATTTAGTTATACTTTGCTCCATTGTAGAATTTATACAATTTGCAAAATGAACAGAAGTGGCTTGAAATCCTACTTACAGTACCAATGACGAATAACCCTTCTTAAAAAATTATCACTTCACTGCAAATGTAGAATAACATGGAAAATGCCTCTAAAACTTCTTAGCAACAAATGCTCTTGAAAAAGCATGTTTTTAAATGTGGAGAAATAAAATATGCATGAAATTATTCCTTCCCAATATATTTTTGTTGACATTAAGGTAACTTTGTGTTTAATCACAGTATCTCCAATTGCACCTTTAGAGGATGATATTGACAAGGTGAAATAGATGAAGGAGGAAAGGCAAAAAATAGGAACAAAGGAATAATGCATTGAAAGAGAAGGCAGACTCTCATATGATGTGTATTGAGAAAGCTTGTTAGAATGGCTGTGACTGGAAGCACAGAACCCGAACTGTTTAAGAAGGATGGAACTGTGGTTGAGACGTTCATACACAATAATTTCCAAAGGTAAATTTTTAGTGGGCTACAACTGCTGCAAATGTGATTAAATTATACAGTCTTATGTTCTGTTATCTGTTTTCTCTCATCACAAAGGCACATAAATTTGCTGCTCTAGTTGGCCTTCAAATACATGAGAAAATGTATTACTATATTTTATTAAATATAAAAACTTCTCTTAACAGTGAGCAATTTCTTTCTTGTAACACAAAAAGGTATAAAAATTATTTTGCAAAATTTTTCATACGCCTAAAATCATATTATTAAAAGTGTTCCTTGTTAAAATGCTATGCGCTCTAAGTAGCACAGTGACTGACTAGCAGCCAATTATAGGTATGTTTGTATTAAATGAATCAATCATCTCCATCATGATATTAAAAACAAATCATTCAGTACTTGTGGAGTTAGAAGTGACTGGAAAATAACGCTGAATTTGCAAACAGAAATGAAATGTAATTGGGGAGAGGAAAACACACACTTTTACTGGGAGGGTAAAATAATTTTGTGTAAATTGTAAGCAACTATAAAGACTATAATCCTTACATTGGGAAAAGTAAAAGGAGGAAAATATAATGGAAGATAGAAATAGAGTGGAGATAAAATTTTTTCTCGTTCAAATTTTTATCTAAAACTGATCCATATCAGTTACATGAAAAGGTAAAATTTATTGAATCATTATAAAGAATTGATTCTCCAACCTTATTAATCTCTTAAGGATTAACAACTTAATTATTTTTTTCCACATGCAATTCACACCTAACTTTTCAATTTTAATCCACATTTTCCACATTCAAAGAAATGAAAATTATTTTTTAAACTGAAGTATATGTTTATATATATAAATATATATGAATATACATATATATCCATGAATGTCTCAAATGGCATTATTTTGTGACTGTAATAGACTCTGAACTGTTATCTTGTTACTCAGAGAACAAATTTGTTTTCAACACTGGCTGGGATGACTGTCTTAGCCATATCCTGAGTGAGAGGGAATGTTTTGAAATATTCTGCTTTGGGTAATAGAAGAAGATACCTTAATATTAGACCAGCTAAAATGCCAATAGTGTGCTTTTAAATACTACTGACACTCATTAAAATGACAGAAATAATTCCAGTAACAATTCAAGGCAAGCATTTTCTGGTTAAATCAAATCACTTTATTATGGTCCCTTTACTGAGAGAGGGCATCTGTTTCTATTTGAGGAGAAATAATTATAATTTTGTTGGCAAAGTTTTATAAAATATTTTTCTATATTGAAAAAAAGAGAAAAATTCAGCTGAATAGCTTATTTCTCTTTTTGTTCTTTCAAATGTCCTCACATCCTGAATGTGGATGGAAAGCCACTTTCTTAGGAAGCAAGATAATCTGTATTAGGATAAAAGCCAATGTGCTAAGAATAAAAGAATATAAATAAAAACAATTTAGATTCCTGATTTCATTTCTGGGATTTGAACCTAAATATGGAATGTTTTACCTATAAACTTATCTAGTTCCAGAAAAAATATCTTCTTTAAGTAGAATTTGACCATGTTTCTCGGAACCCAAATGTATAGTTTAACAAAAAAACAGTATACATCAACTTTAAGATCAAAATGTATGTAAAAATCTCAGACCACTTTCCAGAAATAAGTATTTTGAGTAAATATATAATGCTAACTTGTATTAAATAGTTTGAAAAAGATGGATTCTCTGTGCAGTGGTGTCCTAAGTTTCTCAACTTCACTTTTGGAAAAATGGAAATAGAAACCAGAGGTAAGAGAAATCAAAGCAATCCTAAATTACTCATGATTTTTTAAATAAAATAAATTTTATTTTTTAAATAAAATAAATTTTATTTTTTAAATAAAATAAATTTTTTAAATAAATTAAATAAATGCCACTAATAAAGAGATGAAGAAAAACTGTAACATAAAATAATACATATGTTTTATCATCAATATAATACACATTTGGTCACACAGAGTGTAGCATTTGTATTCTAGTATCAACTCATTAGAGAAGAAAATCAAGTATATCTTTAATTTTAAGCAAAAACCATATACATAAAATGTATAAGATGTAGTGTCATAACTAGCCATTGAATTTTATGTTTGGTATGGGAATTTACTGAAGGTCCTTACTAACTGTTAATATATACCAATATATTTTACTATTAATTCTAGGTAGATGGGAAGGCAGGCTACAATTTACATGGATTGGTCTATTATCCTAGTCTAATTTATGAATTCACATCACACTTGTGTTCTTTAAAGACAGTCTCTCTGCCTTCCTTAGAGTTTCCAGAGGAGCAAATGAGAATGGTCTAGAAACCTGGCCTAAGTGGCATGACACTCTCAGATGCACTGAGAGACCAGTGAGCCTTTGGTGTAGAAACATGAAGGCTGCATAGCAGGTTACACAAAAGATATGGAGCTGCTCATCACAGACAGCACAAAACCTGGATGAAGAGCTGTCTTTGAAAGGAATATTAACATTAAATTGAGGAGACTAAAATCATATCTAAAATTAATTATCAAAGCGTGCCAATCAAAATCAAATTTCCTTTTTATTGCTCCTCAAAATGTAGATGTTTGAATTTAGAAGTAGCAATATGGTATTTTAGAAAATCATAGATTGTATGAAAATATTGAAAATTTATCCACATAAGATTAAGGAGCACACTTTTCAATATATTCTATACTATATGCAATTAGTCAATGTTACTTATGAAGTATTTTGAGGAGAAGTCATTTTCAGGGACCTTGGGCATATTTTTAGCTAAAGGCAAAGAGAGAAAGTCAATGGGAAACTTTCATCATCATATCACAACGTAGTCATCTTTCCTCCCCCATACCTCTTAAACACCCATGCAGCTCTTCGCTATCTAAACTCTCTTAGTAGGGAATGCTAATTAAATTTGAAGAAAATTATTCCTTTTGCCTAAAGTTTAGTATGGACATTCTTTGTTTAATATTAAGGATAAAACAATCTTAGAATTTTATTAGAATAACTTATTCTGAGTTGTGATTTTAATAAGTCCACCCAAAAAGGTACAATGGGCAAGAGCACTTAGCCTGAAATTATGAAAATCAAGCAGAATTGAAAGTAAAAAATGTTACAAAACTTGTAAGAAAAACAGGGGAAATGTACGTCTTTTCTGAAATGTTGATCAATTGTATTTCTCACCTAGAAATCACAAGATGAAAGCTATAAGATTATTTTGATGTGGTATGTTTAGATTTTAACAAAAGAAGAAAGTTGCAATTTAAAACGATAAATTTCAGAATGGAAAATTAGCTCTTGTGATTGCTGTCACTGAATATACATTCATTCCTGACCTCTGTATGAACTCAGTGCAACTCATAGTGCAGTTTGAAAAACCTGGTACAAAAATCACAATAAATGAGGTACTTACACTTCTGTATTTCACAATGTATTCCAAAATGGGAGCTCCTCCATCATCCTGTTTGGTGATGCTGATTTTAAAACTCTTTCCACTGCTTGGCTGTCCATGTATGGATGGAGGACTTGGTTCACCTAGATATGTAATACAACAATTCTTCATTTCCCCACATTTCACATACGTAGAGAAACTGCATTTTAATAAAAAGAACACTGTCATATAATCAAAATATATGACGTTATCCTAGATTTACCGTTTGATATTTGCTCTTTGTTGTGAAATAACCTGTGATCCTCACTTACTCCTCCAAAAACTAGCAGCATTCATAAATCCAGACTAACACGCCTAAATTGTGCAACCTCGGGACCACATATACTACTTATACTCACGTGCAAATACTGTGAGAACAGTGCTGCATTAATTGTGTAAGCTTTGTTTCTTTTAGCATTAATAGAGTGAATTCCTACTTACTTAATTAAGGTAAATTTATTTCATAATATTTTATGGATATTGCTCATATAAATATTGCATATTAATACATCAAACTTTTGTTATATACCTATCAAGATAGATAATGGCTTATAATTAGTTATTTACTGTAATCAGTATTTTCTTCCTATATTCATAATTGTATTAGAGTTAAAGAAGATGAGATTTGTAGTATTATATTCTACAGCCTTTTGTTTCAATATTTTCTTTTCTTTTAGTTTCATGAGTATATTTGCTATTGAGTCTATTCTTCAAGTAGTGATATATCAATGATGCTGACAATATTTTCAAAAGAACAGGAATGGACTCATGTCTAAGGCTTTTCCACATAAAGAATACCATCACTGTTTGGTAATTTAGAATGGGATCTCCTTGCTTTGTTTCAGTTCTGAGGTGCTTGAGCATATACTGTCATCTCCCTGCCTCTTTCTTCCAAGACTCTGACGATAAGGAAATGGATATGGATATGATCTTGGCTATACATGGGTAAAAAGGATCACAAACACAAACTTTAGTTTGCAATGATTCAGAAAACTTGTAATATCCAATCTCTTTAGAAGAATGTCAAGGCAAACTAAACACAATGAAGTGAAGATGCTGTATATCTCCAATCTTTGAGAAACTGAGATTTCTTTCTCATCAAGTTGACCTTATTTGTAATATGGTATTTATAACCTAAAGCATTTAAGTAGTTTTATTTTGCAAAAATGTAGGTCATTAAAGAAATATGATTATAGGATGTTTTGACTTGTAAGTGAGCAATAAAATAGACTCATATGTTAGAGCTACGTAGAAATAGTGAAAAGAAAATTTATATTGTGATTAGCAATAAAGTTAATAAAATTAACATTATGAAGAATAAAAGAATATATTAAAAATTTTTAATGAGATTATGGGAAAATCTACATTTTACACTATGGATTTTATAAAATTCTCATTTAATAACATAATTATATTATTTTCATAATAGCACTTTGAATGAGTTATGAAGCAGAAACTATATCTTACATAGCAATTGTACATATAAACTAAAAATATCTACGCATATATTTAAAATTAAGCATAGACCAAATCTGTAATTTCATTACAATTCATACTTCCTTTGAAAAAAGGAACAAATGCAATGTGAATTCTACTGGAGATAAATAGATAAAACTTATGGTTTCTATTTGTGATTCCAATCCAATGTTTATGCAAAAGCAATAATATCAATAATAATAGAAATTTAAGATTTATAAGTTATATAGCTATACATAACTTAAAAAATCCTGAGAAGTTAAAAACACCCTAGGAAGCAAGTAAATATATATATTAGGCTAGCATCCAACTTCCAAAGTTCTCATCATATTGAAGATACGATGGTAAGTCAACTACACACTAAGAAAGCAGTGTTGTAATTTATTTTTAAAAATTATTTTTATTAGCATATGCTTACAGTACATAATGATTACCTTTATTTTTGGGAATTGGTACATGTACATAATACATCTCATTTCTTTTTTCAATTTGTACCCCTTCCATCCCTCCCTGATCCTTCCAATTTTTAGTGCCTTCCTATACGTGAAAGCTCTATTTATATTTTTTCCTTCATTTTTTTTCAATCCACTTTCTGTCGCTCCCTATATGTCTTACTCCCTTTATTATTTTAAAAAGATCTCCCTACTTTCTATTGTCCATCTTTTATTTATATTTTGGTTTTCTCATCTGCAAAAAAATGCCATATTTAAGCCTGTATGTCTGATTTATTTCAATGAATATTACCTATTTGTAGATATAGAGCATAATATTATGTAGTGTTATAATGAGTGAGAGAAAGAGAGAGAGAGAGAGAGAGAGAGAGAGAGAGAGAGAGAGAGAGAGATTGAGCATGATGACTAAATGTAGGAGGAAATAAAATTGGAAAGATTACCCACAGGCTTATCGAAGAAATCATGCCTTTATTTTGAACTCATTTGCAGTTGCCCTGAGTGTAACCAGAAACAGAAAAACAACAGCAAAATGCACAGTTCTATGAAAAAAGGAAACATCACACAAATACCCTTCAGAGAGCTTTACAGCAGATGGAGGAGCACTTAGTGTTGCAGGCAGGGAAAACTGGGTTGGGATGGAAGGTGAGAATTTCAAAGGTTGTGTAATTGAGAATTTAAAGGAGAGAAGGGGCAGATGAATTAGGGGAAGAGCACATGGGAGGTAGGATTATCAGGTAAGATTCATGAGCTTGGCGTTCTCCTGGTGAATAAAAGAGAGACTAAAAATGATGACAGCACTGAAAAAGGGAGATCAGGCAATTCATCTGATAGACTGTATGAGAACCAATAGAAAATTATTGGTCAAAATTAGGTTAAGAGAATTCACTATGACCAATTTGGCTCTCCTAATATGTATCTAAAACAATTATGCAGAGATTTTCTAACATTTGTATTTGTTCAGTAATATTCATTCAAGTTTCCCACATTTTATAATATATTCAATGTAAAACATAACTTTTCAAATTTATTGTACCTTCCTAAAAACTCAGATGATTTACAATATTTCAAAATGGAACAGTTATGGGAAAGGCTATAGTAGTTCTTTGCCAGTCACTGTTGTAACAGATTAATTTATTGCTTTCTTTTTTCCCCCCACTTCATAAATGCAATAATAATGTCTCATCAGAACAACAAAGTATTAGAAATGTTACATGAATGTTTTTCTACTATCACAGAATATAGTCTGATGTCTAAAATCCAAATATTCAGATTGTAATAAGGACAAATGCCTCAGAGCAGTTTTTACCGTATATATTGCAGTATATGTTTCTTTTCTTGCCTAGCTCTAAAGCAGCTATTTTATAAATTTGAGATGCCACCATCTTTAGAACCCACTTTATCAAAGACATATTTCACTTCCACAAAATGTTAAAGCATCTCCTTGCATTATAAAATTCTATAAATTTGTAAGTGAAAAAAATGACAACAAAGAGCGAGGCAGAGATGATTACTTACGAACTGGTAATGTTTGGAAGATTTCTATTTTACTGTAGTCTCCTTGACCTTTCCCATTCACAGCTGCAACCCTAATTTCATAAGTTGTATTTGGTTCCAGGTTGCTCAAAACAACAATTGCTAGAAGAAGACAAAAATGAACATAAACCCATGTTTAATGTATTCTAATAAGGAAAGCGAGCTTATCACAGTGTTGGGAGAATAATTTCATAGGAAAGCATTTTATGAAGCAAGGAATGTGTTTTAACAGCAAATAAGTTTGAAACATTCCTTTTCTACACCTACATGTTAGCTTACTAAAGCAAGCAGTGACTTTCAAAGATAAAAAACACTTTTATAATAAAAAATAAAATTTTTAGTTTGTCTTTTTAATATCCAAGAAATAACATGATGTAAACAAACTATCTTTTCTTGCATGTATTCCAAGTACTTCATCATCTCTAATTATTTCTATACAATTTAAAGGTAACATGGAATTCAACATATATAGTACTGACATCCAGTATGACATACTGCAGGCATATCAAAAAACTATCAAATCCCCTCCCCCCCAAAAAAACTGTCACAAAGTGCAAACTTAGTAAAAATGGTTCCTTTTTATACAGTCTCCAATGATATCAAATTATTTAATATTATTTTATATTCTTATCACTTGCATATTACTGTAATTCCAGACCTGGATTCAATATAACACAAATAAAAACCTGAAAAAGCACATGTAAGAAAACATTATGAGAAATTTCCCCTGGTATATGCCAATTCCCGTAATTTGACAGATAATTTTGGAATCAATTGCAGGTTTTAATATACTATATTTAAAAAAATAAAATACTACACCTTTACAACTACCTCTATTAGCACTAACAAAATTCTGTATTTGTTCCTATTGTCTATCAGCTTCTGCTAAATATAAAAAATTTAAGTAGTGGAAATGCCAGTGTCTTAATAGCAATCAACAGAAAATCTTGTCTCCTTTACACAATAACACTAATCAACACTGATAAACACTGACCAATTTGTATCGAAGGAAATAATCCACCATTAATATTCAATTATAAATGATCAAAAACATATTTGTAATACTACTAATTTAGAAGAATTATAGTTCAAGATAATCTACATTTGAAAAATTCCAAA